TAGCCCTCAGGGAGGAGGCTCCGAGGACTATATCCAAAGTGTATGGTGTCTGAAGCAATAGGATCTTACCTTCAAGATCTAGAAGGCCACCAAGGGCAACAGCAAAGGCCTTTATTGCTTTGGGAGACTCTTGGATTCAAATGACCAACCGATTGAATGGAGGTTTTGTTAGCTAGCCTATGGCTCTTGGAGGGAACATTACCGCCCCATATGACAGAACTCCATTTAAGGAAGCTGTAAAAGAGTGTTTCCCTGTGTCTTTCCATTAGTGATAATTACTTCTTCCTTCTGCTCCCTCTGCATTACCACCCTCCCTGATCCCCAGGTAGGTCCCCTGCAGGTTCCCTGCAACCCCCCCTCCCCACTTCACAGCACCTGGGTCCTATGGCGCCACATCACCCAGGATCCCTTTCTGCTTTACTGGCTTCTGTGGATCCTCCAGGCTGTATACTCAACTCTGAAGATGTGGAGCTATGATTTCCATGCTGTGACTGAGCAGAATTGGCCCTGTGAAGATGGTGATGCTATCAGAAGTGATTTACAGATTAAGTGCGATTCCAATAAAAAAAAAAATCTCTGACATTCTTCACAAAAATAGAAAACCCATATCTGTCACCCTGCATAAAAATCAACTCCAAAGGGATTGAAGGCCTCAGTGTGAAACCTGGAACATGGAAACTGCCAGAAGAAAAAATGCAGTATTCTACAAGACACAGGTGCAGCAAAGGGCTCTCTGAGCAGGATTCGGCTCACTCTGGATTAAGGCCCGCACTTGACAAATGGGAGCTCAGTAAGTCAAAAAGTTTCTGTACAGCAAAGGAAATAGGATTGTAGAGGAAGGCCACAGAGTGGGAGTGAATCTTTGCTGAATCCGAAAAATAACCCAGTGAAAACCATGGGCTGTGAATATCAACAGAAAGTCTCAAAGGGAAAATAAAATGGACTGAGAAATTTTTTTTAAGTACTCAATCTTCTTAGCACTCAGGAAGGGCAGGTTAAAACTACTTTGAAATTTCATCTTACCCCAGTCAAACTGGCTCAGACTAGGAAAGCAGTTAACAAACTCTGATGACAATATGGGAAACGGGGACTCTCAGTCACTGCCTGTAGACGGCCAGCTGTTGTAGCCACTCTGAGTCAGTGGAGAAGTTCTCAGAAAACTAAAGCTAGGCCTGCGGTATGACCCACCTCTGCTGCTCCTCCACAGGGATCCAAAGAACTTGACAACGCACAGAATCCTGCTCAACCACGGCCTTTGCCTCTCTGTGCACAACAGCCGGGAAATAGGAACAATGTAAATATCTTTCACCTGATAAAAATGTAGCCCATACGCAATGGAATCCTATCCAGCTGTGAAGAAAGAGGAAATTGCAGGTTAATGGATGGAACAGAAAAATATACTGAAAGAGTTAACCCAGGCTCAGAAAGACAAATGTCATGTGTTCTCTATTATTTGTGGATACACAGTCCTGATTTTCATTCACGACAACCAGGGTCCCTCTGCCTTTCTTATTTTTATTATTTCCCTGTTTCTAAAATTTGATGATTAAAAAGTGGCACATTCTTGTAATCCCAGCTACTCAAGAGGCTGAGGCAGGAGGATCTCAAGTTCGGGGCCTGCTTGGGATAATTGGTGAATTCAAGGCCATTCAGGGCAACTTAGACTCTCTCTCAAATAAGAAGACAACTAGGCATACACTCCATGTTAGAATGGTTGCTTAGCCTGCATAAGGCCTTGGTTTCCATCAATATTCCAGTACATACATTCCACATTTGTATATAAAGAAAGGCAGAGAGACTGCTCGCAGTCAGGTGGAGGTCCTGGGAGCGAGAGAACTAGACCATCTCTTGCCTACAGTCACACTCGGGTTTATCGCAAAACCAGACTCTCTTCCCTCACAGTACCGCTCTGTTTCAGACACATTGAAACGATCGCAGAAAAATGAATGGTTCGTTAGGGGTGTGGAGGTGCATTTGGATAGTACTATGTTACTAGAGGTTGGGCCGGATGCCTGGAACCCGGGGCAGTACCCAGGCCTGTGAGTTTCTAATCAGCTCTGCAAGGCTTCGGTGCCTGCCATATGCTTTTTGCGGGCATCATAAGAGGCAAGCTGCCTATCGGGGATCCGTGCCGGGATCAATCAGACATGTTCGTGAAGTCTCCAGAAAGCCACAGCCCCCATCTTCCTGCCCCAGGGGGTTTGCTCCTCTTGCGGTTTCCGTGGTGACAGAGATGAAGATGTGACCCAGAAGTGGATGTGCAGGACCCATCAGAAAACCACAAAGCACAGCAACCTTCCTTTGCCAGGCTAGTTTTTGTCCCCGAGGGCAGTGCTCGCTCTGGCGCCGCTGCCACCTGGTGGGAACTCTGCTGCTCCCACTCTGGATGTCACTGCATGGCAGTGCCACACTCCGTGGAGTCCGCCGAACATGAGCAATGATATCAGTGTGAAAGGCATGCGGACAGGAACAGGAAGCCGGCCAGCCACACTACATCTGCGGTCAGGAAGCAGCGTGAATAGGAAGTGGTGCCAGACGATGAAGCCTCAAGGCCCCCCGCCAGTGACCCGTTTCCTCTAGCAAGGATCTACCCTCTAAAGGTTCTACAACCTTGCCAAACTGTGCCGCCAGCAGGGGACCCAGTATTCAAACACGTGAGTCTGTGGGGGATGTTTCTCATTCAAGCCACAGCAGACACCTCCAGAAGTAAAACCTGTATTGCAGTTCTAAGCAACGCAGACCTGAGAAATCTCACGTGTTTGTTTTGTAGTGTTTGTTCTAAGAGTTGAAACTGATGGCCAGCTTTCCAGGAAAACCACCAGCAATTACTCTGTGGAGCTGAGAGGGCAATGTCCTCCTCCTCCCTCTAAGACCTCTAAATAGGCCTGAGATTCTGTCAGCCCCAGAGTTTGTGGGAATCCTGAGCCCATCCTCCTAAGCCTCCTGATACATGCTCTATGGGGCACTGGATATTTGGATTGCCCAGAGGATCTGTGGATGGCTGCAAGTCTTCATATCACCCCATGCATAACAAGCACCAGCATTGGCCATACTCTTGGCTAAGCCTTCCCCTTTGCTCAAGAGATGGAATTCTGCCTTCACTGTCTCCTGGCCAAACTCATTATGTCTTTCTATTTAATTATGGCTTGAATGGCTTCAAGACCATTGGAGACGATTCAACCCATTATGCCTTCATATATGTCTGAACAGAAGGACCAAAGTGGTGTTTAGGGGATTTGCAGACAACAGCGACCTCTAAGGGTTGAAATTTCCTTGCCTCCCAGAACCTTAGGAGAGCTCAGCATGCAAGGACACCAGGAAGGCACAGCCTCAAGATGGAGCATCACTCAGCCCACACCCTGCATAAAAGGGCCCTTGGAGTCTTGAGACTCCAGATGCAGAGGTTCCAGAGAGGGACATGCTATGCTTTGTCGTTCGTGGACCTCCTAATGTCTCTTGACTGTCACTACAAGTTAATGTTCGACTCCTCAGAATGACACTTCTCTTTCTTTTCTTTCTTTTTTTTTATTAAATCCTTCTCATTTTAATTGTTTGGATAGGAATGTGTTCTGCATTTCTCCCCAATCCTCTTTTATCCTCCCCTCCCCTCTTCTACCCTCCCCACTGCCCTCCATGCTCCCAATTTACTCAGGACATCTTGTCTTTTTCTACTTCCCATGTAGATTAGATCCATGTATGTCTCTCTCAGGGTCTTCTTTGTTACCTAGGTTCTCTGGGGTTGTGGTCTGTCGGCTGGTTCTCATTTGCTTTATGTCTATCATCCACTTATGAGTGAGCACGTATTGTGTTTGTCTTTCTGGGTCTGGGTTACCTCACTCGGGATGGCTTTCTCTAGTTCCATCCATTTGCCTGCAAATTTCAAGGTGTCATTGTTTTTGTTTTTTTTTTTCACTGAGTAATACTCCATTGTGTAAATATACTGCATTTTCTTTATCCACTCTTCAGTTGAGGGGCATCTAGGTTGTTTCCAGGTTCTGGCTTTTATGAGTAATTCTGCTATAAACATAGTTGAGTCCTTATGGTGTAAGTGAGTATTTTGGGTATATGCCCAAGAGTGGTATTGCTGGGCCTTGAGGTAGACTGATTTCTAATTTTCTGAGAAACTGCACGATGGCACTTTTGAGCAAATTTTGCAGTTGGAAAAAAGAGTTCCTGGAAAGAAGTTGTGTCCGCCAAAGCTGACCAATTAAAACTTCAGGCTCGGTGGCAAGTTTGGAGTGTTACAGGTCCAGAGCCTGATTACGGTTTCTTTTGGGCTCTTTTTAGCTTAGCTAAAGAGCCTTCCCTTGCCCACCTCAGTGTCAGACCTAACATCATGGTAAACAGATTAAAAACAAACAAACAAACAAAAAAACCACTTTGGAATGCATCAACTCAGCAAACCTCTGTTCTCCAGCAAAGGATCCAGTATATTACCAGGAGACACTCAGGACTGGCAGCTGCGCTTTTCCGCTGTGCCGTAACACCCTACTCAATGTCTCCACCAAAGGATCTGCAAAGTGTCTGGATTTATGACTTTTACTTTGTTCTATTACTATCAGAACTTCATGAAACTGCTTCCACATGGAACACAGTACTCAGGGAGACCTAAATCTATGTTCCCAGTTCATGGCCACCTAAATTTGCTTCCAGATTACTTTGTCTGGATTTTTGCTTTTCACACACTAATGATTAATTCAGGTTTTAAAGGCAAAGCCAGACTGCTCTGTCCGACACTGTCTTCCCCCATGTTCAAGAGCCCCCATACTCAGAAGGGGCTCTTGAAAGATGCCCTGGGACAGGTGTCTTGGGCCACGACCTCCTTCCAGTGGGCCATAACAATCTGATTAACAGCCAGGGAAGTGAAGCATGACAAGGGGAAGGTAGACACTTTGGTACCATAGGAATACGCGTGGCTGCCCATGTCCACTGACCCGCTTTCTCCTTCTTAGACGGAACCCTCCTGCTGCTCACTCATGTGTCCTCTTGTCTCTTTGCAGGACTCCTCTTCAGCTGGACCTGTCCCCACAGCCCTCCCACGAGCTGCCGCGGTGGCTGGAGACCAGGGCATGTCTCCCAAAGTCCAGCTGCCCCTCAACGTGTGAGCTGCCCCTCATATCTGTCGGCATTCTCTGCACACTGGCATTTACACAAGTGGTTTCTCGTGGGGTTTTCAGTTAGTTACTAGTTGTGCTGTGGAGTTACACATGCGTGCTAATGCTGCTGCCCAAAACAAAAGGGTGAAAACAAAATCCAAAGTGGTCCCTCGGATGGTTAGGAGAAGTGGGTGGAAATGAACAATATTTGACGACTCTCGGAGGTCCCTGAGGAAAGAGAGGGTGTGGCGAGGTCAGTAGGCATCTTTGGAAGTGTGGGCAACAGCTTGATACTGCCTGCTCAGAAATGTCACCCCGAGGCAGGCCAGCTGCATGCCAACCCCAAATATAATCACATGAATCACTGCTAGGAAATGAGGTGTTTATCTTGTTGAGGAAATTTTCTCTGGTAAATTACAGCATTTAAGCGAAACGTGGAATTCTAAAACTCCCATTTAAATAGCCTTCCCAAGAATTAGATAGCTTCTGTATTTGGCAATGAGCTCAGCCTCTTGAATGGACGCTTTAAGGTGGAGTGGATAGATGTGGCAGACGGACAGACAGAACATTACATCAGTCCAGGCAAGCCAGTGGGGCAGTCGGAATCTGTGTGGTGCAATATGTAATACACTGTGGGAAAGCTTCTACAACCACCTTGACCAGCCATTGGACTCTGGCCTTGCTCATTCTGCCAAGTCCAGATGTTAGACTCAGGTATGGATAAGAAAGTTCTGAACCTTGATGCTTACCCAACTTAATGAAAGAAATTTTAAATGTATCCACTTTTCTCCTGGCTTCCCAAGGAGACCAAATTAATAAACTATATCCCAGATTAGCCTTCAGGTTAAAATTCACATATTAAGCAGGATTAGATATCAAGGATAGTTAGCCCTGCCATTTGTAAATTCAACTATCCTTTAATTCACCTACTCATGGATAGAAAATATTCCACAAGAAATTCCAGAAAGTTCCTCAAAGCCAATCCTGGGTTTTTTCTCACGCCACCTGTATAAAGTGATGTGCGGATTTTGTATTCGGTATCACACTACTGAGAGATGAGTTAAAGGATACTGAAGAATGGCATGCATTATAAGCAAGTGTCAGGCTGTTCTTTATTTGGGACGTGAGCATCTATGGATTCAGGTGCATGGGGGATCCTGTGGATGCTGACTGGGTCTGGCCATGATCCTGGTCTGCTCCTTTGGTCTCATTACAAGCCAGCGGCCACGAAAAGCAAGTGAAAAGGCTAGAGTGAAGAGCTGGGTGCCGGGTACCACCCCCAGGAAAGAAGGCCCCTGTCTACAGGCGATGGCTCTGGTGCCGTTCCCAAATGAGAGGCTGGGTGCAAACTAGGTTCAGTTTTGTATCCTCAGCTGAATACCTGCACTCAGGCTCTCATCAGCTACCCGCATTTCTTTGAAAATCAGGACATCATGTTCCTGGGTATGGAAGACTCCAATTCTTACGTGTCAGGCCAGCTACCAGAAAAGATATCTGTGTCTTTAAGATCCAGAGTTGGGAGTCATCCAACTATATTCTTGGGGTCTCGGTTGTAGACACTAAACACAAAGGGCCCTCTTTCTCCATAGCCCCCTCTACCACAGAGACAAGGTCACTAGGACCTGTAACATGGCCCTTTCCCCACTCCCTACCTCACCCCCAAGTCATGTTGCCACTATTTAGCTTGAGGGAGACATACTTATCAGATAATTCCTGGCAGTAGCAAAGACTAGGATAGGGGTGAGTCAGCAGTTAACACAGTGGTGGTCTTGGGTAGGGGTGAGACAGCAGGTAACACAGTGATGATCTTGGGTAGGGATGAGTCAGCAGGTAGCACAGTGATGGTCTTGGGTAGGGGTGAGTAAGCAGGTAACACAGTGATGGCCTGAGTAGTAGATGAATGGAGACCTTCAACGAGGCCAGAGAAAACTTAAGAGTATGCATCCGTGGCTGCCCACTGAGCATCCAAGACATGCTTAGAAATCCCACCCGTGTAGTAGCGATATACATGGTCCAGTTTGAAAGCCTGATGGTTAAAATTCTAGCTTTTATGTTACTGACGAGAAGGAGAATTTATCAAGCAGGTGCCTAGCCTGCCACCAGTCCGTTCTCTCTGGAACACTTACTTCCTTGATTGACGGCGCTTCCTGTAACAGTAACTGTAAGTCATGTTCAGAATCCTCCATGTGAACATGAGATAATTTCTATTTACAAAAACAACCACAGCAGCAGTACCCCAAGTGTGTTCAGGGTTTCATGGCCTTGGCAGTCCAGACAAGGGCCCAGGTGAAGACAGTTTGTGGACCAGTGATCACTGATGGACTAGTTCCATTATTCACTGTTGCCTTCACTCTTCCTAGGGAGATGCGGACACGCATCCATGCACTCTAGATAGGGCAACCAACAGACCAAAGGAACAATCTCACCCAGATCTGGATTAGTGAACGAATAGTTTATCAGGTTTGTAGGAGCATGGGTGAGGGGTTACTTGGAGTAGAGAGGTGTAGATTGCCCCCAGAGAGCTGCCCCATCAAAAAGATTTATTCCAGAAGAAACGATGGCCTCCCAAAAGCTGCCTGAGGAGTCTCTCTTTCAGTTAACTTTCTACCTTCTGTATACTCTAGCATACTGGTTCTCGACCTGAGGGTCACAACCCCTTTGGGGGTCAAATGACCCTTTCACAGATCGCTATCAGATGTCCTGTATATCAGGTATTTACATTACAATTCATAACAGTAGCAAAGTTACAATTATAATGTAGCAGCAAAATAATTTTATGGTTGGGGGGTGACCACAACATGACGAACTGTGTTAAAGGGTCACAGCATTAGGAAGGTTGAGAACCACTGATCTAGCACCTCCTCAGACCACATCCTCTGGTGCAGAATTACATACAGCTAATGGGTACAGGAGGGAGGGACTGGCTGGACCTTAGGGAAGGGTCTAATGACCTTCTCACCCCCTCCTTCTTTAAGGTTTTGTATTTTAGTTAGGGTTTCTATTGCTGTAGAGAGACACCATGACCACAGCAACTCTTATAAAGAAAACACTTCCTTGGTGTGGCCCACTTACAGTCTCAGAGTTTCAGGCCATTATCATTATGGTGGGGAGCATGACAGCATTCAGGTAGACATGCTGCTGGCTACATCTTGGTCAGAAGGCAACAGGAAGTCAAAGCTTAAGCAAAAGAGACCTCAAAGTCCGCCCCTACAGTGACACATTTCCTTCAACCAGTCCACACCTCCCAACAGTGCCACTCCGTGTGAGTTTATGGGGGCCAATTCCATTCAAACTACCACAGGCTGTTGGCAGGCTCAGTTTTACAAAGCTTTCCTGCAGGGGCCAGCTGCTATGATTGATGGTAATGAACATGTTACGCCTGGAGGATGGTGTTTCACAACAGACTCTCATCCATAGTCCCTGTGTGTCTTAAAAATCCTGCTGGTGACAGAGCCAGGCCAGTGATTGATGGCAAGTCGCTGCCTTTATAGAAAAGTTCCACGTCAGATTCCTCGGGATCTGGCGCACAAGAAGGCTCTCAGTTCACAGGCACACTGTGTGACAATGTGCTCCTCTGAGCCAGTGACTCACCCCCACGCTTTTCCGCTCCTTTTCTGCTGTTCTGTCATCCTGATTCTTGAGCTCAAATGCCTTTCATTTGGCCAATCCGCTAGCCATGATGCCAGAGGCCCATGAATGTTCGGGTCCTGGAGCCCACGCCCCAGGTCAGAGCCAAACCTTCTGAAGGGTCCGAAAAGTGATGGGACCGCATGTGAACAGGGTACCCCTAAATGCAAAAGAACTAGATTCTTGCCTCAGTTTCTCCATGGACATCTTCGAGTCAGCTTGGAAAGGAGGCCAAGAGAGCACACAGGGACCAGTGAGTGACTAAGCAGCACTGACTGGAAAGAGAATGGGAGAAAGGCAACAGAGCCACTGAGTCATCTCATCCAGCAGCCCAGTGGGAGGCAGCTCATCTGAGCAGTGCTACAGGCCGTGGACTGGAGAGGACAGCACAGCAGAGGCCTCAGATTTGTAAACCCATCTGTGATGTGATTCACCTGGGGGAAGGGTATCTGCCTCCTCCAGAACCAGCTTGCCAGGCCATGCAGGGGACAGTCCTAACTCCCAGGAGAGCACCACCTACAAACAGAAGTACTTGGCACAATCACCACTTGTCAGGAGAGCCACATACTTCCTACTGCAGGTGGCTCCCCGGATGTCACCTGGGAGACATCAGGGAATCCAAAAAAGAACAGGAAGAAGAGAGCTCGTCACTTAGGCCAGGAAAAGGAAGCTGGGGGGTTGGGGACAGAGGCTGATAGTTCTGGATAGATACCGGGTGTCTGAATCAAGGGGTTGGCACGGGTCACATGACATGTGTTTTGCATGACAGTGGGAGTCACTTATAGGCTAACACTCCCCATGACGCCAGCACCCTCCATACTGATGACCGAGGGCTACTAACCCACCCTAAAGAAGAATGTGAGCCCCATGTCCTGGGATACTGAGAAAGACTGATGAAGTCACGCCCAACTCAGGAAAAATGAGTCATTTATCACAGACCCATCAAACAGCCAGCTCTGTCCCACAGCGGGGTGCCATCATAACCTACTAATATCCATTAAGTAAAGCTGGGTCAGTCTAGAGCAGTGGTTCTCAACCTATGGGTTACAGCCCCTTTTGTGGGGGGGGGTCAATGGACCTTTTTACAGGGGTTATCTAGGAATATCAGAAAACACAGATGTTTACATTATGATTTATAGCATTATAGTTATGAAGTAGCAACAAAAATAACTATGGTTGGGTGTCATCGCAACATGAGGAACGGTATTAAAGGGTAGCAGTATTAGGAGGGTTGAGAACCTCTGTCCCCGGAAGTATCTTAGAGGCCAGTTTCCAGGTCAGCTTTGGCGATAGTGGACAGCACCGCACTGGCACCTTGCCTGTGGCTTTAGTTTTCCTAACCAGGCTAATGTCTGCCCGCAGTTGAGGGCACGGCAGC